CCCGGCGCTCTCTCCGGGTACGGGAGCTGCCGGCACGGGCTTGGCGGGATGGAGTTTTCGCTGGGTTCCGAGCTGGGGCGTGCGGGCACGGGCTGCGAGAGGGGCAGATCCTTCCCTCCCTTCCTCCCTCCCTCCGCAGCCCCGGGGCGAGGGCATGAGCAGGCACCAGGCTGGGGCAGCGGCAGGCTCAGGAAGGGAGACAGACTTTTCTCTCACTAGAGAGAAAAGGTTTCCGGATCAGCTGTAGTACAGTGACAGTTTGAACTTACTTTACCTCTAAAATATTATGTTACTTACTTTTCACTCAGGCAAGTCCCAAGTACAGACTGATTGCAGGGGGGCTGTCCTATTACAGAGACAGCAGGGAGATTAATTTAGCACAGCCTGTGTCTTTCAGCTGATTCCTCACATCCTGACAAACAAATATCAATGAAATAATTGGGGAAGTCCCCACGGTGAGGTTTTGTTTAGGAGCATGAATCCGCAAGAATTTACTGTGAAGGCAAATGCTTTAAAATAAGTGTAGGAGCATGAGTGAGAGGGTCCTCTGCCAGCCCTCGGGGGATGGCACTGCCTGCCAGTGAGCAATGGCAGGAGGGGAAAGCAGCCCAGTTCTACCACACTGAGTGTTGTACACTCAGTGTTGTACAAAACAGATGTTTTGTAGGTATTCACAGCGCCTCTTTCTGTGGGATTTGTACCCTTTGCAGTCTTCACAATTTGACCGACCTCTCTGTGCCTGGGATGCAGTACACAGACCTTGCTTTGCAGGTGCAGTACTAGTACTCGGTCAGCCTAATGTCTCTTCCCATCTGGCTGGATGCATGCCTGCCTACAGCCAAAAAGTTATGAGCCTCTCTTGTACAGTCCTGCTAATTAGTGTGTATTTAGCAGGCTCAGTGCCATGCTGACATAGCCACCAAGCTTTGTGACCCAAGTTGGCTTACATCTGTCCGGATTGGGAGGGGGGAGTACAACTCTCCCCATCCTAAGGGATGTAAAACTGCACAGAAGAACTCAGCAGAGCAGAACTATGACCCCAGGTGTCTAGAAGAAACATGGTCAACTCTCCCATAGCTAAATAATCTTCTCAGAGTAAAAGAAGGGAAAAAAAAATGCACCACAAAGTCTGACAGAAAGTTGCATTTTTGAAATTAGCATATTTAAAATACATTGTTCCTGCATTCAGGAAAATCCGTAGTGGGAGAACTGGCAAGATGCTTATCATACATGATTTTTAATATTCAAGCATAAAAGGGGATAGCTGATAAATATGCACAATGTTAGCAAAAAACCCAGAGCTGAAATCCTTCAGAAAGAAGCTCAAGATTGTGTTAGAGAAGTTCTAGTTTAAACACTTTCATTAGCATGACTTCTGGGGTGACTTCTGGCACCTGGTGATGCCCTGCTGTTATCAAGATGGTATCTTTTGTCTCAGGCTCAATGGTGATTGCCTCAAAAGGCATTATATGTCTACAATATAAGCACACCACTCTTGTACCCTGTGTGGGTGGTGGGTGCCCTAGATCCAGTCAGGAAGATGAAGTCGCAAGATGCTAAGCACACAGGGAACTATTTCTGGGTTTTATTGCCTGTTTCTGCCTGGTTTGACTCCCTGCACTGCCTCACTGCCCACTTGTGCGAGTACCAGTGCAAACAGAGGTTTCAGCACATTTTGCATTGATGGGTGTAGCATGGGAGGGCAGAATTTTGGCACCTTGGCAAGGTGGTCCTAGAACTCACACATCCAAAAGCTAAATTTGTAAGAAGTCATTATTTAAAAGGTAAATGATCATATATACTCTCTATGGCAAGCAGTCATTGACTTGTGTACTGTATAAAGAGAAATTCTAAATTGTTCCAGTAGAAGTTTGTATCAATTTACGTAAGTATAGCTGAAAATTTTAGAGGCTTTTTTGTTCATATTGGATGTTGAGGTCTCCCTGTTGAGTCTTGCTAAAATCTAAGTGTTTAATGGCACCAGGGGTGTTCACTGGCATAGTTCACTGTTTTGAATGTAGAGTTGAAAGTTTTAAAATAGAGATGTGAAGAAAGGTGATCAATGGTTCTCATGCTACACCTTGTTTATCAACCTTTTCACAGCTCATGATTTCAGCACCTGGAGAAATGACTTCTTTTGGGGACTTTTCCCAAAATATTACTTTTCCTTAGGGGAAAGTGTAAAGTGCCCCAAGTGTAAGTAATCAAGAGATGCTAGGATGCAAGAGATGTTAGGAATCATACAAAAACAATGCTCCAAAATAAAAGAAACCACTGAAAGAAACCACTAAACCTGCCAGCAGCAGGGTTAAATTCTGTCATGCCTAAAAATCACTGTAGGTTTGGTACTTTATAAATAGAAGGCTCAGCAGAAGCTCATGGACTGCTGAACTCAAGTTCAAGAGTTTTTAAATAAAGTTTCTTGTAGTTCTAACACTGAAGAATATTTTTGAATAAATAAAGACTATTTTGGAAAAAGAATATTTTTGTACATAGCATTTTAAATAGGAACTACTGTCCAGTGAGGGCCTGAGAAAGGAATCAGCTCACCATTTGAATCAAAGTGGTTACTATGGGAAAATATGGAGATCCCTATACATTACAATATATGTTGTACAATGAACATTCTACAATTATCCATTTTTCTTTTTCCAGAAATGAAAATAAAAAATTAAATATTTGAATCAGAAATAAGGATTTGTGTTTCATAGTGCTGCAAACAGAAGATAAAAATAAAGTTTTGGCTACTCAAGCTGTCTTTCATAAATTAGCAATGTAATTTTTCTGTGTATTTTTGAAATTCCAAGTCTCTCGTTAGCTTCCACATTTTGGTAGGTACCGGAGAACAAATCCCATCCTTCAGTTTCCTTCTGAGGACTTTCATCCTCTTCATTGCTTCAATGAATCATCGTTTAATATCGTGTGAACTAAGCTGAGCAAATACCAGCACAGGGAGGGATCCATAAAGATGTAGCTATGGATCCCTGATACTTTTTTTGTGTGTGTCAAGAAATGGCACTGTTCCTTTTATGTCAGCTCATGGACCCAGTGTCTGTCATGCTGGGGAATTTGACGTCTTTCCAACAAGGCACAGAATTGATCTACTGTCCCTTAAGAGCTGTTGGGTACTGACTGCAAAAGTGACATTATTATACCACTTGCCTAAATTCCATTCTAGCAACCCAATATTCTTATTTTTCCACATGTCTAGGGCAATTCATCCTTCTTATTCTAATTCTTGATAACCATAAAATTACCATGTATTTCTGCAGATGACCAATATTTAACTGTCGGCTTGGTTTGATTCCAGTAAGACATGAATCATCACTTTATTTGTTATGCAGTTACTCAGTCCCTTTGGGAGTTTCTTCATGGAAAATGTTATATTAGACTTGATGTTATCTGCATATCAAGGTGCTAATATGGGATTAAAGTTCTTTGGAAATTCTTATTTATGCAGGTCATTCATACAGCCAGCTTGGGAGGGAATCAATAGATAAGGAAACAGGCTAGAAAGATGCTTACTGTCCTTTGGGTACTTGGGTAGAACTAAGATGTGTGATCAGGCATTTGATCAGGGATTGAAGTCTGTGCTTGTACCATTAAATCGAGTGGGGTTGAGTACTGTGTTTGGACCCTTTGGTGGCAAAAATCGTGAGGTTCATGCTGCGTTGAGCACTTGGCCTGGCTATGCCATGGTAGGGTCTAAGACATTTTTACTGTCATTGGTTTTCTTTTCTAGTTCACTGTTCGTGGAACAAACAGTCTGAGCTGCACTGCAACATGTCAGTGTGGTGCCTTGACAGCCACATAGGTTGTGTCATGTACTTTGGGGTACCTGGATGTGTCTGAGGGCAGTGCCTGGTGGTTCAGTGTCAGGTGTCTGCATGAGGCAAAGGGAGCTTTTTCTGTGACTTTCCTGCACTGTTCTACAAATCATACTTGGGAGCTGACTGGGAAGGTGTTTATCAGTAGGCAGAGGAAAACAGTAGAGAATACTAATTCTCTGAGCAGGATGGACAACTGGTGGCCCAGTACCAGGGGCAGCCCTGTGGTTCTGTGAAATTCCTTAGGGCATGGGATGCAGCGTCCTCAGCCACAATACACCTGGTGCTGTCAGGACGCTCAAAAGTGGGCGGGTTTGGTCAGAACAGCTGGTGCGCAGTGAGAACAGAGGAAGGGAATTTTAGTAGATTGGTAAGGACATCTGCCAAGCAGCCTCTTTCAGAGGTTTTATCTGCTCTATGATATTGGTAGTAGTCCAAGAAATTAGAGATGTAATGACAGAGCAAACAGTGCCATTTCTATGTTTTATGAGAAGAGTTACAAATCCCAAGGAGGTTATCACATTCTACTCTTTCTTCCCAATGTCTTGTACCGGCAGAATCCCAGAGGGTATAAAATATTTTCCTGAAAGACTAGTTTGGTCCCATCACTTTCCTGCAATGTTGATGCAAGGATGTAACTAGTGGTTAAGCAGTAAAGCTTCTTGGGGATTTAAATTGTAATCCAGAAATGTGGGAAAAAAATTGAAAGCACGTGATATGTTCCATTATAAGCTAATGAGAAATAGTACACATAGGAAATTAAAAAGTTTTATTTAACTAGATAACAGGAAGCATGACCCAAAACAATCCAGAACCAGGTTAAGATAGCCCAACCATTGATGAAAATGTGCATTTTGTACCGTTTTCTAACCTGGAGCACCTACCAGGTGGCCTCCAGGAAAAAAGGCTACCGGAAATGGACCGCCACTCAGATTAAATGTCCTTGTAGGCCACAAATTGTGGATGACACATGTAGGGAAACGACTGCTTATCCTCAGAGAATTCTTCTACTTGATGGATGCCCGTGTGTGAGACATTTTTCTTATTGCTCTCTCACTGCTCCTCCTGCCAAGGCTGTGCAGATTTGAAGTTCCCAGGTGGAGGGGTTGTGTTTGTTCCATCAGTGAGCATCCAGAGATCGTCCTACTCCAACCCCTCAGGGCTCAGCCTGCAGTACAATTTTGAAAAGCTGTAGTATTCATTCTAACTGCTAAAGAGAAAATTTTTAGGTCATACAGTTTTCAAAAACAGGACTTGGTGTTTCTGGAGATGAGGCTGAGGAAATCAGTTTAATGGAGATGTGAAATGGCTGTGTGTTCTTTACAGTTGCATATTGTTTTAATGGAAAAATAAAGTGAAGACTTCTGTGTTATGTGGCTTCTCACTCAGGAATAATGTATCTATCACCTGATTTGTATTCTAAGAATGACATCACAGAACCTTTTCTTCCCCTGCTCAAGGGAAATGCAGTTTCTTATGATTCAAAGTTTACTTTAAAAATAATGGTACTTTTCTCAAAAGTTTTGATTAAGTTCAGAGGAAATTTGTGATCCCTGAGAACTGAAATTCAAATATCCAGTGGACTGTTCTGTAATTGGAAATGAGTAGGACCTTTGTTAAAACAGGGAAGCAAAGCGGTGCCAGTGGATACAGTTTAATGTCGAGGGAAAAGGAGTTAGAAATTGATCTGAAGGGAATCAAGCATACTGCTACTTAATGTTCCAGCCTTTAAAAAAATCCAGTGGTATAGGAGCTGCCAAGGAAGGTCAGACCAGTCTGGTGTAGATAATCCATGAGCTGGTCTCCTTTGAGGCTAATGCTTTATGCTTCAGTAGAGGGTACGGAAGAACCTCACAGCTGTAGAGAAAGGTCTTGATGAGGGGCTGTTTCTTTGTGGACAAGGGATGGGATAGGGAGCCAAGTATTGCAGGCAGGTTTGAATTTGCAATTTGAATATGGAAAATCCTGGAAGAATGGTTTAAACCCATATAAAGGTAGAAAGTAAAAACACCCAATCCAAACAAAAAGCCCCTCAGTATAATCTTCTTATCTCAAGCTTTTGAGAGCAATTAGATAAAACTGAAGTCTTGACTATTAATAATGTTTTAATACTGCTTTGCAGCTATTCCCTGTGTTGTGGGGGAGTGGAGTCATTGGAGTGGCTGTGCAGAGCAGTGTCATCCTGGGCTGCGGATCCGTAGGCGCTATGTACAACAGGAACCTAAAAACGGTGGGGAACCGTGTCCAGCTCTGGAGGAAAAGGCTGGCTGCCTGGAATACCTCACTTACCAGGGGGAGGAATGTGGCCATGAACATGGTATTCTCAATTTCATCTCTCTGCTTACGTTGTGTCCATTACAGCCATCATAAATTTTACTGATGTCAATGAACAGCAAAACACCAAGCATCCATCTACAGTTATCTGGTTAAAATTATAATTTAGAAGTTTACTTTCTACTGTCATATTGATTTTCATTCAATAATTTGTTTTCTTGCTCTGTCTTTTCTTAATTTCTATTAAGCAAACAACTAAGCTGTGTGCATTCCTTCAGCTGAATGTAAGTATCAAATTATCTCTGTGCGAAGTTAGAACACAAATTCAGTATGAAACAGGAAACAGCACTCCTTGTGGGATTCCAGCACATCCTATTTCCTCACTGACTAGATGGCATGCATTGTTAGATATTTTTCTCCTGAATAAAGAGAGAGTTTAGCTGTAGGGGATGGGGTTGAGGTCCAATGTTGGCAACATTTTATCACTTTTTCAATAAAGTGAGCCAGCATCGCCATCCACAAGCTCCTGATTCATTCACCCACTGTTACAGTAATTGAACTATGACTCAGCTGTGCCTTGCTGTTTACCATAACTGTTTTTTTCCCCAGTCCCTGCTTTCATAACTACCTCTGAATATGGTAAAGAAAGAAAAAGAAGAGCAGCATCTTCTCTCTGGCCTTCAGACAAAGAGGCAGCAGGGTAATCTGTTTATCATATGTATGTGGGTCATCTTGTTCAGTAGAAAACAGCTGGCTACAGAGAAAAATATAATTAAATTTGCAATCATTAAACAATAAGCTATAGCTTGTACTGATTTTCTTTCCTGCAGCTCATTTGCATGTTCTAGATGTTGTTTTTTATTACTTGCTAATTGTCCTGAATTAGACATTGGGATCATTGCAAATCTGATGACAGCTGCTTTTGAAAGCCAACAGTAAAGAATGCTGAAACAAAGATGAATGTATCCTAAGTGTAAGTCTGAGAACTTAGATGTAGGTCTCTGAACAAAATGGGCTGAATGGGATTGGTCACAAGAGACCTTTTTTTATTAAACTATTTGACACAAGCAGTAAGAAATTTCGTTTAGTTACCAGTAGAGATAGCAATGAAGTTTAAATTAGGCCATTACTGGGTCTGTAATGCTTATAATGCTTTGTCCTGTGCTATTTTTTTCTAGAATAATAAAACTCACTGACATTCTCAAAGTCTCTTCCAATTTCTTTCAGCAGCATAGGAGAAAAAAATATGAGTTACTGAGATCAGTTTTTCAAAATAGTTTAATAATACAGAGCACTACCAGAAAGTGAGATTATACATAAATTACTGGACTGGGGCATAGAATGAGAAATAGTTTCCGTAATGCTTTTAAGAATCCACTGACTGGGTTAGGGTCAAAAAGAGATTTGTTAGCAATGACAATGTCTGACTTGCATTTCACAAACACCACCCTTACGATATGCAAGTCCATTCAAAGCGCCTACTTAGCTCATGCTTTCTCATAATTTGGTACTTTTCCTTCTGAGCAGATACTGTGTGGAGTTCAGGACAGAATCTCTTTCCCAGCACTGCGCTCTGGAGACGCGTCCGCACGCGCGCTGGATGCAGTACCTGCGCGAGGGACACACCGTGTGCGTCGCCTGCCAGCCCCCGGCCATGAGCACGGGCACGCAGCGCTGCTCTGGAGATGGCCATAATGCACACGGGTAAACCAAAACCCAAAAAGAGTTAAAACTTCTCAACATTTCATTAAAAGCTGCATTTATTGCACCTAAAAAATGGAACAGCTCAAATTGCTTGTAGAGAGCTCAGGTTTTACCCTTTCAGTTCTCGCAGAAATTGCTTTTAAAACATAGATAAAATCGGGAAATAATTCCAGTATAAGAGTTCAGTGCTTTGCATGCTTTATTCACAATTGTGAAGTGATGGAATTTGTGTAGTGGAAGAAGACTTCTTACAACTATGGCACTTTTATTTAAAAATAGTATTTCCTGCCATAGTCCAAATCTGATTGCAGATTTAACAGTGGTGGTGGATTGGTACTTGCCTCAAGCCTGTATACCTGGTTTTTTAGAAAAGTAATTGTGAAAGCAAATATTTAGTATTCAGAACTGATTTTTATTTGATTCATACATTTATTAATATTAGGCATACTAAATACCTGTACAACCAGCTATGCAACCCACCATCCTGGATACTCCACACAGGAATATAATGTCTGCTCCAGAAAGAATTTTAAGAGCTAGATGAGTTTAATAAGCTCTTACATGATTAAACAAATCCAGTCTTCTGACATTTTATACAACACCATTTGATAATACTAAATTCACAGCTTTTACTTGTCTAATTTCTCATTTATTGTCTCATTTCAGAGATAAAATCTTACACTGGGAAGCAATTGGCAACTCTCAGTGCCAAGGAACCTGGAAGAAGATCCGGCAACTGGAACACTGTTCCTGTCCCCTGGTGCATAGTTTTATTTTTACATAAAAGTTTAAAAGACCTTTAAAATGGCAACAAAAAGAATACGAAAACTAACAATGCCAAGAAACCAACATATTTCTGCTGCATTTTCTGGAGCCTTAAATTTTACATGAGTCAGACCTTTGGCAGAAGCATTTCAAGAAATGCTCTCTGCCTTAATACAAAATGCAAAGACTGATCTCTATCAGAACACTAGAGCATGTTTCCATGTTTGTCTTTTGTAATTAAAGAGCTAATGTTTCTAACCATAGTTGTTACTTTTCCTGAAGTTTTCCATCTTTACTGGCCATAGCCCAGTCTATAGGCACTGCTCCTAAGTAGTGAGACAGCCAAGTATTTTCAAGTCTGAGAATAGTGACTGTCAGCATTTAAGAGCAAGGGTGAATAAAAATTAAGTTTTGAGAGCTAAAACCAATTTCAGTTTAGGTCCTTTGTTCCTCTCCAGTATCATCTAGACAACTTTTTACACTACATCTGTAAAAGTATTCTTCCTCTACACTGCAGTTTTCACTTTCAGTCACCTTCATGAAGACATACTTAGTGCTGTTAAGAAATTGGTCTCCTCAGAACTTCATGTCAGTAATACAAAGTATTAAAGTAACTTTCCTGGCAGGTGAACCTAGGCAAGACTTTGTGACTAAGGTAAAAAAATTACTTATTACTAGTTAAAAATGCTCAGCTACAATGATGAACATAGAACCTGCAACATCTGAGCTCTGACAAGACTACTATGGAGGTTGAGAAAATTTCCTGTTAAGACAGGCAGTATCTCCATGCAACATAAAGACTTCCTAGAAGAAATCATAGTGGTTTCTTGGCAAGAATGAGGAAGGTGATCTGCTTGAGGTTCTGTCAAGAATGTGTTGTGGCACAAACCTTTGAACTGTATTTTACCATTTTATCGTAATGAAAGCAGGACTCCAAAACAGAAAACAGAGATTTTAATGCTTTCTGAACATTGCAGACGTCAAGAATATATGTTTTCCTTTTTAATGGGGAAAATTGTTTCAGAGAGCTTTGTTTTATTATGACCAATTCAGACAGCTGCTTTTTCTTGTAAGATTATTGGAAAATAAAAACCTTAGCCAAGAAAAAGGCACAAAAAATCTGAATTCAGGGGATTTCACTTTTAAAAGAATGCTGTATTATGTTAGTTCAAGTCACTAGATTCACACCAGTATGGAAAGCACGAGTTTCCTGAGATTGTGGAAATCTCTTCCAAATGATTTGAATCCAGAGAGACCAGCTAGTGCCATCATACATCTGTTCCAATCTCCCATGAGCAGGAGGTTGCAGTGGCCAGCAGAGACCTTGATAGTGACCCCCAACGTGTATCTTTGCTGTCACTGACAGTGTAGACTCGTTACTGATCCCCACTTTGGCCATGTATTATTGAACTTTCCCTTTCCTGCTGGTCTGGAAGAAGTCACTTGTCATGACAAGGTAGGTGGCACAAGCTAACCAAGAGATGCTAAGTGCTAGTATAATAGTGCTCCTGTCCCTGTAAAAAATAAACCAGTCCCTTTGTTACTTACAACAGTTACAAACAGTATATGAATTTACACATTTTTAACTGCAGAAAAAAACAACAAACCATCAGCTCATAAAATTAGCAATACTAATACATACATACTTTTTGGTATAATTTACAGAGATGACAAGTCTGACCAAAATTTCAAAGTCAAGCAAAACAGATTAGAATGGATTATGTGGCAGGAAGTAAAATTATGAAAAGGGCAATCTAAAAAGAGATACAGCCCTTCAAAAATACAGAACATTTGACCTTTTATAGCTTCCATCAAACTAAAGATGTCACCATTCAAATCTAATACACCCATTTACATAACAGACATTTCCTAAATCACTGCAAACATTTTCACATTTCAGAATCTAGGCCATCTATTATTACACGTAGCAAAAAAGGCCAGACTTTACATTTAAGTCATCATTACCAGAGCAAATGAGCTTACATGAGTGTTCTATACCAATTAGTATTCTGTTTAGTGTTTTATGACAGCAACACTGCTGGACACTGAGACTAAAATAAGATGTTATTCTGAAAATAACATCTGACTGAAAATAATAGAGTACGTCCTCATGCAGGGAAGGGTTAAGAAGAGTTGTTTCCTGTAGTCCAAATCAGTTTTGCTTCCTCTTGCTCAATGTTCTCCATCGGTCTTTCAACATGACACTTGTTCGGTTGTTGAAGTTACCATGGACTAAAATTTTAGCCCAGTTACCCACTCCAAACTCCCTTACTCCCAATTTCAGCTCCAAGTCTTCTTTTTGAGTCCATCGCTAGGGCAAGAGCAGAGACAAATACCAGATAAATGAACAGAGGGAGATATTAATGTCAGCAATTATAACAAATATAAAAGCAAGTTTTCAAACAGCTCTCCAGTTATTAGAATACAGTTGTCAGAGGGCTTTTCTTTAAGCATCGTATCTTGAAACTAGAGATAAATGATAAATTTGAAACTGAACCTGTAGAGCTTTATGGGGGCTCACAAAGGGGACCTGTGTTAATAAAACCTTGGGTTAATTGGAGTAACTGGATTGGAAGTAAAAAATGTTTATAGAATTACAAGAGCCATAAGAATTGTAAATGGATAAATCCAAAGGCCTAAAATTTATATCTTGGTGGAATAAAAGAAAGGTTGGTTTCCCAGAATATGAATAAAACCTCCTTCTGTAAGTAGCAGATCACTTCCAACTATCAAGTAGATAAATGGTGTTTGCTATAAAGCAGAAGGGAACATTAGAGAATCATGTTATGGCTCACCTTTACGACTGAAAGCTTCAAAATGTAAAGAACTGGGCAGAAAGGGAAATGCAGGTGCAAAGGAATAGGCTCAGCTTAAAGGCAACTAGTAGATCTGATAAGTGCAAGGAAATGTGAATTACGAGGGAACAAACATCACTTAACTATGAAAACAATGTACCCAATGGAAATGTAAACCTTATGGCTGCTGTCATTACACAAATGCATATCCTCCTGCTTGTGCGCAAAGGAGGATGAGCAGCAGGAACACCCATTCAGTACGACTGTCAGTGGCACAAGAACCCACATCCATGGAAATAAGAAGAAAAAATAAATTTATTTCTTAATGATGTGGAATCCTTCTGGGATCTTGAAAAGATTCTGCTCTTGTGAGTATCATCAGTTCAGTCTCTGGCCAGGTGACAATTTTGAGTGCTATTCTGCATGGTTCCCACCCTTCTGTTAAATTTAAGTTTCTAGAAGTTGCAGCAGGGCTCGGAAATGAAAGATAGGGGGAAGTCTCTGATGGGAAACAAGCTTAGATAATATTCAGCCTCAAAACTGTGACAGATGAAAACTGTATCCTGGTTATTCTCCAAAAAGGGAAAATGTGGCATCTACACAAAGTCCAGGCTGAGGTATGTAAAGACCAAGCTTCACATCTCAAAGCTGAATTTATTCCAGCTTAATGCAAGTATCACAGGGCCTCTTCAGTAAACTTTGATCACTGACAAACCTCACTAAGCAGTGAAAGAATTACAAGTAATCGTAGTTCAACTGTATTTCTAAACAGTTAGGAACCTAAAACTTCCCATAAGTAGTATAACCTTTATCAAAAATACTTCGTTTTTCCAAGTCTTCCTGTTCCACAGATCTTTTGCAATATTAGCAGTGAATAGCTTTTTTTTCTACTATACTAAAAGGCCAGAGATTCCATTGGAATCATGCAGTTCATGTAATTTCAGAGCATTCCAGAAAACTTTCCTAAATAAAATCTTTATTCAAGTAGCACAGTTATGCTTGACCTACAACACCAGATAATTCAAATACTTTCATCAAAAGAGACAATCACAACCCGTATTACTTGCAATGATTAATTATATTTGCTGTTAAAAAGGTTGTTTTTAGCCTGTTTTGATTTTTAATTACTTACATTGACCTTTTTTAAAAAATAAATTTCTTCTATTTATTGTATAAATGAGGGCCTGCTTTACAGGCAAATCAGGGACAGATTAATTTTCTTTTCACTGTAACTTGCTCCCTGCCCCACTCACTGACAAGCTGTCATCCTCTCTGGGACACAATTTATGTAGATGTCCACTCTGCTCTGTTACAAGACTGGTTGAAAGCCTGGACATAAAGCAGCACTACGCTTGAGCTCACATCAGCACAGTGCCTGGTCCACAGCAATGTGACATCTGGCCAGCTCTGAACACCAGCAGAGCAAACTTGAGTTTGCCAGGCAGAATGTGAAGACACCCCCTCACATATCAAAAGATCTTGCTGTTCCTTAGAGTTGGTTCTGCTCTAGTAATCTGTCTTCCTTTATGCATTATGGGACTCTGCTCAAGCAGAGTTTTCTCCTTTAGCTTTAAATATATGTATTTTTTTTTCCATAAAAGTCTGACTAAATTCTGAACACTCAGATTTTCAGACACATTGTTTAATTTAAATAAAGTATCATCCACATTTTAGACAACTCAAAGGACTTGCCATATACTTACTGGGTATAAAATTGAGTACAAATTCTTCCCTAAATTCTGTGACACTTGCATCCCCTAATTTAGGAATGAGAAAATAAAGTATGTGTCCTTTCAATAGCACTGCAGATTGTTCTATGCTAACTGAAAACACTGCACTGAAAAGCTGAAAATGGGCACTGAACCATTGCAATGAAATGCCATTTACAAAACAAGAGCAAACAATGCCAACATTGAATGAGGGACTACATGGAAAAGGAAGTTCTAGAAGTCAACAGCTCTGACATTCATTGCATTCTTTCAAGCATGTGGACAATTTTATAACCCAGATTAAGCAGAGAAGCAGATTTATTGTTTAAAAGGCCAATTATCATTGCTTTCCATAAAACATTTATGACGTTTCAGCGGTAGGGAGTAAGGCATAAATATTACAGAGGGAGAAAATGCCTACAACTTTTCTAAGTGTTGAAAGAAACACAGTTTTGAATCTTAAGTTTCATTTAAGTTCTTTTAAAATTTTCAATGCCACTGTCAGATTCAGTTCTCTACAAATTTAGTCTTTATATTTCAATTAAGGTTGAACTATAAGAACATAATTAAGCAAACAACTCCTATTTTTTTTTCTAACAAGATGTGTATGTAAGCCCTAGACCTAGACACAGTGCTTGTAGGTGACCCCATAACAAACTAGCTCAGCATTAAAATATGTGAATACAAAGCTTTCATTACCTCTGTGTCACTGTGGTCCAAATAGTTTAATTCTGGATGTTGAAAACAAACTCAATGGAAGTGTTCATGCTTACCAGCAATTGGCTAACAAGGTACCTATGCAAGTATATGCTGGAATAAAGTAATTATGTCTTTAAAGACAAAAAGCAAATCCAGTAAGGGCAGCTTTTTTTTCTTAGGACTCTGGTTTTATCTGCAGCTTTTAAAGAGGTTGTCAGTGATTTAACCATTCCTGAGATTTGTGAGAAAGTGAAAAACTCTTTTTTGAGGCTTAAATTTCAAGGATAGATGAGGTATAGTTAGGACCTCAACCAATTTGAAGACAGCATGTAACTGAAGATTTAACCAGTACTTCAACTTCAGTAAAAATGCTTAAAGAAACAGGAATAAGTACAACTCTCTTCTAGGAAAAAAACCAAAAACAAACATACACAAATTTGATCTTCCCTGTCATATGAAAATGAAATATCAAAATGAACCAGAAAAATTAAACAGCTCACATCAAAATGGATATATGACTATAACTTGCACTGTTATCTAAACAGAAAGACTCGACATTGCTTCCTAAAATATATTATGATGAGGAATCCAAAAATGGCAATACATTTATTTAATGTTAATTTCTTCACTTATCATGATAAAATGTTGAACACTTATGAGAGAAAATTTGCTGTAAGAAAAAATTAGCTTGAAAGACCCCAACATCAAATCAACTTCAAATTTGATTCTAGTAAGGTATACACTTCTGCATTTCCCACCTATGGGAATTCCAGCATTAGTGAACACAGTAGAGTTATTTTAATATAATTATTTTAATATATTTCATTTAATAAAAATTAAGTAGGCTTACCCACGAAGAGAGCACAGGACCATTTGAAATGTAGCATTGTAAGAAGACCCTACCATTTGGTTTATAAAACTATAGAGTAGTTTCCCAAGTATATATATTTTTACAACGCATAAACAAAGTATTGAATTATAAAATTGCTAAATCTTTAACCTCCTAAACTGGAAAACAAATTGCCTCTGATATTTGGCCAAAATTCTCACAGGCAAATGACATCCTGAATTCTTTAATCAAAACTGTGGAAAGAATATTTTGTATCACAGTAAGCTTTGGTAACAGTGTAGCTCAACAAATAAAAGGCTTGGAAGCATTAGCAACAATATTTGAAACAGCAAAAATATGTTTTATTTCCTGTCTTTGAAAAGAAAAGGACTGTAACTATTTCAGGAGCTGTAGCACTTGAGTAATCTACAGAACCTAAAATCTAAGCACTAGATTTAAAAATTAGATTGAATAAAGCTGAGAAAAAAATTCTGTGCATTCAGATTCATTCTATCTACATTTAGAAAAGAGAATAGGTACAAACCTGTCTTCTTCGGCTACATTCAGCTACAAAAGAAACTCCATTTTTTCCCACATTTTGCGTGTTGTTAAGACCTAGAAGACAGTTAATATAAGTCCAGAACAATGAGGAGTCAACATCAAGGAAGCAGTTTTGCATTTTATCATTTACAAGTGACAAGAATGTACACTATTTTGATTTGCTTTGACAAACTGGGAAAGTTTCAGTGTCTGTTTATATACAAGTATACTTTGATGTATATGAACGCACATGTATCTTGCCATAATCCAAGGGCTTAAAAAAATAAGCGATTCAAAAAAACCCACTGTATTTTCTATACAGTAGAGCTCACAGAAGAATTATATTTTAAACACTTAGGTAAAAATTGGTGCCTTACAATAAAACATTGCATTGTCTTAAAAACATTTTTACTATACGCACTAGTCTCGTTTTACATAGAATGAGAAGTAACAATCGGAGCTATGATTCTTTGTATACAAATCCCATAATTTCCAAGTAAGTGTATCAGGTTTTAACTGTGGCAAGCATTCAAGGCATCATAAGAGTTTGTCCTTCCATGTGCAACAAATGGAAACGTGCAGGAACTATATCATCATCTCTCTGTGGTAAGAGGGTGCTAATGGTCTTAAGAACTTATAAGTATTATATTATCTCTGGTTTTAGGTTTTTAAGAAGTAATACCAGGAAAATGCAAACATCCTGACTACAGGCATTTTAGAGTACAATTTGCTTTTCCCATTAGCTAACTTCATTAGTCCCTTCCAAATCAAGTTATCTAGCACAGAATTCAGAAAGAAATTAATTTCAGTACTCTGCTGTCAGTTTTCTTTTGCACAAAAAAACCCTAAGTACCATAAACCAACCAAGCAAACTAGAAAATAGTGAATGATTTTGCAAAATTAATTGCTAGAGAACCTTAAGCCACTTCACAGCTTCCTAAATATGCATATATTCTGCATTTGTGCAGAAACTACATACAACCTGGAGTGTTTTTATCCACCACAATCATTTCTGCATTAATCCAATCACATTTCATAGCAGTTAGAAATAAGTGTTTGACATGACTGTGTTGAAATACTCACTCTGAAGAGCTCTGCTCTCTTTGGGTTTCTGTCCTGAACTTCTCCTGCAAAGAACACAAATCTGAAATCAAAGTACAAACAACTTGACGAAAAGTCTGTGATCAGAGCAACAACAAATTTTTTTACCTTACTGTGGGTTTTTTTATGTTTCCATGTGACTGATTTCTGATATACCACTCCTCTTTCATCGATCTTAAAATGAAAAGACAAAAAAAGTTATTTCCTAGGCAGCAACTTGCCTTTTATATGATTCAACAATATTTAAATAAAAGAAAATCCTAAGATTTCTCAGATGTGGTATACAATCACTAACTGCATCAATGCATTCATCCTTTTAACCTTGCCTCCCTACACCTGGAAAGGAAATACAAAATCTGCTGAGTTGGAAGGGACCCACAAGGATCACTGAGTTCAGCTTTTAGCCCTGCACAGGCATCCCCAGAAGTCACACCATGTGCCTGAGACCACTGTGCAAATGGTTCTTGAACTGTCAGATTTGGTGCTGTGACAACTTCCTTTGGGTAGCCTGTTCCTAAGACCTTTAAGCTGAAGACAAGAGGCATTTTGCACTTCTATTTTTCATCAGGAATTATTTCCATAGTTTTTTCTGAATGAGACTTTCATCATATCTCTCAGATGCGTCAGGAGTTGCCCTTCTAAAAAAATAAACTGAAAAATCTTAAGACTTGTCTTCCTCTATACTGTCTGCATCAGCCAATTTTCTTAATTAAATAATACCAAGTATTCCTAGTACAAAAATTAAGAAATACAGACTATCCCAGCTAAAGACTGCAACTTATTCTCCCTGAAAAACAAGTGGTGATAAACCTATAATATGAGCATTTTCCAAAATAATCATGTAATTGTTCTGAAGGTTTGCACTGTCAGAATCATGAAGCAACATAAATATTTCCCTTCACACTAGTATGATTAAGGGGTCAGCTGTAAGAAAAATGTAAGTCTGATTCAATTTCCTTATTCTTTTTCTTCTTGAGATGATCTATGGCCTGAAATTAGAACTAAAAAGAGTTCAATCAAGCATTAAAAAAGCAAAGTATTTTTGTGCTTTTGTTATTATAGACTGACAGCTGTTTAAACTATGAATTGTGCAACCTCACAAATTAAACTCAATGACAAGCTATTTGATGTAAATGCCAAAAGTAACAACCACAGAAGAGCACAAAAAAAAAGAATAGGTAATGTGCTTGTTGCTAATTTTCTATAGGACAACAGTTTGGAATCTAACGTCTCTCCTTCTACCTACTCTTTGGTCTACAAGTTTCATGTTACTGTCCAAACATATACTTTAGCAGTATAATAATACAAACCTTTGTTTTGTTTCCAAATCACTTTTGTCATTTTCATTAACTTCCACAGGTCTCTTTTGCAATGCTATTGCTCCCAACCCTTTAGATGCTACATGTTTTGTGGCTTCCTGTGAAAAATGGAATTGGTACCTTAAAGTCAGGCAATACCTAGATAGGAGTTTGCACTAAGATTAATATGTATAATTTTTATTAGAACTAGCAGTGCTTATTTGACAGACATTTCAAAGATATTAACATTAAACTAAGTAAGTAAACTAAGCTAAGTAGTTTCAAAACAACTTTAGCATGTTTAGTTGAAATCCATAACAATCTTTATCAATTGATAACTTGGTGAAATTTTAGTCATAGCTGCAACTGATTTTTATATGGACACAAAGAAATACAATTAATAGTTGCATGAGTGAACTTAAAAACGTGTGAAGTTAATTGCAGAGCTTAACTGACTGCAAAATCTATCAAAGTACTCCGAAGTTTGGTTTTTGTAACTAGGTTAGAAACTAAAACTGACAGATGTCAAGTTTATCTAGTTCTGTAGCATATGGCAGGACAAAGCATACACGTAACACGTTCAAAAGACATGTCTAAATAGACCTTAGGCTTGTAATCTTTTTTCCACTGGTAAAAAATATTTCTAACATCCTGCTCATACTTTCAGCGACAAACCATGATTATTTCTCCTTTATTGCCAAGAGAAGGAAGTAGTAATTCATTACTCCTTATAGAGTACCTAAAAGGAGCCTCCTACACTGAATAAAGTTGGGACAAACTCCTTATCAGGGCCTGTAGTGGTAGGACAAGAGTTAATGGTTTTAAACTAAAAGAGGGTAGATTTGGACTAGATATAAGGAAGAATTTTGTTTTGTTTGTGATGAGAGTGGCAAAACATGGAATGGGCTGCCCAGCAAGGTGCTTGATGCATGATCCCTGAAAACCTTCAAGGCCAGGTTGAATGGGTTCAAAACAACCTGATCTAATTGAAGATGTCCCTGCTTATTGCAAGGAGGTTGGACTAAACTACCTTTAAAGGTTCCTTCCAATCCAAACTATTCTAGGATTATTCTTTTACACATGGCACTAGAAGAAAAAGAAGAGAAATTAACAGTTAAAGCTAGAGTGTTCTGCAGAGGAGTCAGGGTACCCTGCTGGGAAACCTGTGTGCTGCACAGGAGTGGGAATTCTTCACAAAGTTATCCCCTCCATGTGCCAGAACAACTCTGTTCAAAGTAAGATTTGCAATGTGGGTGCAGACAGTAGGACAAATGTGCAGGCAGTAAGGACCTTAGGCATGCTACTATGGAGTTCTGGGCCTTCTCTGACACCTCAAAACCTCACTTCCTCTTAGACTCAAAGAAAGAGCCTTGAAAAATAAACTTGAAAACTGACATTCATGTGAAACCATTAAAAGGTATTCCTTGTATTATACTTTGACTGCATTTAATAAGTTGTCTCTCTGGTAAGAAAATAAAAAACACAGAGGAACTTCAGGATTGTTTATTTAAAATTTGCTTCTTATTACCTTTAGATGTCTGTGCTTTTGTAATTGAATAATTCAATATTCTTTTATACGAAGTAAACATAAGAGAAATTCTTTACAATCCTCTTGAAGATGAACTGAAGAAGGAATGTTGTTCTTGCCAATTTTAAATCACTTTTGAACAAGACGGTTTGTAAGGAGCATTTGTATTTACAGGAAAACAGTAATAATAGTTTTCTATTTCCTAACTCCTGACATTCCAAAAGCTTTTAGCCAAATTAACAGGTCTTGATTTTATTTTTAATATGAGAAGTCATGTAGGCTTAAATAAAATAAGCATTAAATATAAAGCTATGTTTTTTAAGGAGTCCGATATCAGAACTGCTTCCCTTAAACAGATCTTGTTTTAATTACACTATTTTCCTAACTATTTTTCTAATCAAAACAGTTGTGGGAAAAACATTCATAGAAGATACTTTAGAGGAGTCTCTCTTTCCTACTAACTTTCTCCAAGACATAGTACTTAAAACAAAAATGTTGAATATAAGACAATCCAAAAGAAGGTAAAGTTTCCTTTTTATCTAATACAGTAATGTAATATTGCCTAAACAACTCCCTTCAAAGGATAAATCTATTTAATTGTATCAGGTAAGTTTTTTCAGAAGTTTTTAAAATATTTTCAACATACCTGTATTAAGAAGTTAGTTTCATTTTCTTTCATGAAAAGTTCAATGTAAGACTTGATTTTACTTATCAAAAGACTGTAACTGAAGCTTTGGAGAAGAGGAACATATGGATCCTTGGTTTTAATTACAGTTGCCAGCTTCACCCTTAAAGGCTAAGAAAAGCACAGCTTTATACAACACAAATCCTACAGTAAACTTGGTATCTATGCTAAACAGGAAATGCAGAAAGCTAAATATGGTGATTATATAGTTTCCTGAATATCCCTATACAACTTCATGCTACAGTTTGAAAGAGTTCTGGAGTCAACTAGACATAATACCAGCTATTTACTTTATGTGCTCAGTAAATGGTGAAATGTAACTGACCAGAGATTTACAGGTTCATTTCCTTTACAGATAACACTGAAAGCAGCTTCTCAGTGGAGGAAAAACACACAGATGAAGTCACCCATTACTCAGTTCTCTCTTCTGATTTGCTGCCTCAAAAAAGACTGCCATTGGAAGGGGTGTACAGTGTTCAGGAAAAGGATAATGTGGTACAGCAGCATTAAGGATACATCAATACTGATAATCAGAAATTCACATTTTGTCTACCAATCCGTCTGAATTTTACCGAAGCCAATATAGCTGTGTAGAGGCTGCATTTTTATTTATGAACTTGAGTACTATTACCACAATCTAGATTTTCCAAACCTCCAAATCCTCTGAATGGAAGTGTATCTGAAGAGTAAGTTATACACAGGCTACTACTTATGAAGAACACGTGTCCTAATATTCCAGCTGAAGATATAGGCAGCATTTTTAACTTCTTTTCACCTGCAGCTCCTCTATTGCTCTTTTGTCCACCTTAGCAAATTCAAGTGTGTGCACTAACTGTTATATTAAAGAGATATTCACTCAAGCTTGTAACTTTCTGAATGATACAGTCAGCTTCAAACCAGGAGGCAGCCTGACATATATGTTGACTTTTCCAGGCAGAGGCATAATAGCATTCAGTCTATACTACAGAAGCTAATGAGTTTTCCTTCCCTGGGATGCTTTGGTACATAGAACACTAATCAGAGGTAACAGAGTCCACTACAATAGAAATCAGCAAACTGGCTGTTAATAGTCAGCGCTATCAAATTCCCAGAATTTGTAGTGCCATCTCACTCCTCATATGAAGTGGGAGAGGGGATGAAGAACAGCTGCTGCTAAAAACATTTTACTCCCACAAATTATCCAGTATTTCTATCATTCTCCTAGACGGAAATTTCCTTTCATATTTTAAAGTGACAAAAGTGTGAAAGTGACTGCATAGACAATAATGAGATTGAAGTTATGCAGGTAGGATTTGCTAGCTTTGAAGACTGACTCCCCTCTTTCTCCTCTGAAAATCAAGAGCTTTTAATGCAATTTAAGCAAGTTACTACCTTATCTGAGTCAGAGTCTGTGAACAGCCTTTCAAGAACTTCAGCAGCTTCCTTGAAGTATCTGTTTTCCATATGGACTGCTACAATCTACAAGAAACATAATTACAAGATATGATGAAATACTTTCCACCTGAGATTCAGAAAAAACAAGAGAATTCACAATTCTACAGTTTTCTACAACTCCCAAAATTCAGATGATTATATATTTAAGGGTTACTGACACTTATCTACTTCTAACAGTTAATTCTGAAGTTAGTTTTGGAATTTATTTCAATTGACATCTTTTTTAGATTGGCAGCTTTTGAAACAAATTTGAACTGGTACAAACAGGAACCTTATGAGATAGAAAAAGGTTCCCTGTGCAGATCAATTTACTCTGTACTAAAACTGAAAATTCCATTCAGTCTGCTAATAGCCCAAGCTTTTTGTAAAAGGGGCTCTGCTTTAGCAGGATAGACTAGAATTTTTAAGGTTGGAAAAGACCTTTAAAGTCATCAAGTCCAACCACAAACCCAGCACCCACCACCATATTCACCATTAAACCACGTCCTCAAGTGCTATATCCATGTTTTTTTCAAACACTTCTAGGGATAGGGTCTTCACCACTTCCCTGGGCAGCCTGTTCCAATGTTGTGCAACCATTTGTGTGTAAAAGCTTTTCCTTATGCCAAATCTAAACCTCCCCTGACACAACTTGAGGACATTTCCTCTCGTCCTGTCCCTGGTCACCTGGGAGAAGAGAACAACCCCCACCACCACTGCCCCTACAGCTTCCTTTCAGGCAGTTGTGGAGTGTGATAAGGTCCCCCCTGAGCCTCCTTTTCTCCTGGCTAAACAACTCCTAGCTCCCTCAGCTGCTCTTTGTAGGGCTTGTGCTCCAGACCCTTCACCAGCTCTGTTGCCCTTCTCTGGACACTCTCCAGCACCTCAAAGTCTTTCTTTTCCTAAGGGGCCCAGAACTGAGCACAGGATTCAAGGTGTGGCCTCATCAATGCTGAGCATAGCAGATACTCACTGCCCTGGTCCTGCTGGCCACACTGTTCTGGATATAAGCCAGGATGTAATTTGCCTTCTTGGCCAGCTGGGCACATTCTGACAGTTGTTTAGCTGCTGTTGACCAGCACCCCCAGGTCCTTTCCTGCCAGGCAGCATTCCAGCTACTCATTCCCAATGAGTAGGTAGCATCCTGAAGCATTATGAGTAAGTCACACAGACCTGAATTTGAATCAAACGACGAATATCTTCATGAAGCTTTTCCAGTTTCATTTCTTCCCTTTCAAGTAAAGTCCAGAAAGACAGAGCAGATTCCAAAGGTGAAATTCTTTGATCATTTTCAAAATGTAATCCTTAGAGGAGGAAAAAACCCAAGTACTTATAAAAATTAAAGAATAAAGTTAAACAGTTTACATTATTTATATGCAGTAAAGTGATACATAGTACATAATTTCAATTCCTTTTCCCTCAATTTTTAGGTGTGTTTAAGAAACCTGAAGCAACTGTCTTCTTTTCAGAGAGACTGGCTCTTCCTACCCTTGCTAATAACATTACTGCTGCATTTTCAGGGGGTATTATGTCAGCTAACCATTGTTCCCTTAAAGTACCACTTGCAGTTAGGTATTTGGACTGGCATTAATGATACATTAAACTTAGCATCAGATATCACAACATTTGATACTGATTTTGTTATATAATCACCATGCTAAGTAGGTTTTTTTTTTCCCTGAGTCTATCAATATTTCCATGTTTTAACTTTTTTGTTGTATTTGAAGCGCCTAAACTGAGAGGGAAACTCAGATGTACATGAGTGTCACTGAAAAAGCAGAAGCAGCCTCCCACACCAGGGTACTGCTATGCCAACACCAAGGCTTGTCCAAACTCCCAGCAAAGGCTCAGTGACCAGTTCTGGCAGAAATCTAGCCTAGCCAAATATTTATCCCCTCAACACCCTCAAGCAGTTTCCCAGTCTGGTCCCTGCACACCTGCACAAGTGGCTGTGCCAATGTAACAGATGCAGGAGGAGCTGGCAGGTGCACAAGTGCTTTTTTTGCCAGCTTAATTCAAGATATTCACTGAACTTATGCCTTCATTTTATGGCATTGGCAGAATCTCTCTTAACAACTTATTACTTTCATTAAGTATTTTTCAGACAGAAGGTAAACAATTTACTCAATAATGTAGAGAGAAAAATTATTTTATACCTGCTACAATGTCAAACAATGACATTTCAAACAGGATTATGTACATATATATACACACACAACTAAAACAAAAACACATCTTTCTCTAATTATTGTCTCAATCAAGTAACATGACACTTCATATTTTTCATTTTAATAGTGTAAAACCAAAGTATTTAGCTCTTAGAGTTGAAACAGCCTACTCTGTGTGATCAGCATAGATCAAATATTTTAATAACTGGAAAAAATAGGAAAGCTACCATATATTAGCTTTCCATGTACATTGTACAGCTACACCTGATGTAATACCTACTACACACATGCAATCTTCCTCACCATACAGATCATTCTCTACTGATAAGATAAAAACAGAATGAATGAATGCATATTCTCAAGTGTTATATACAATAATTTAGAGCATTAGCACAAAAAATTCATCGTTTGTATACTATTTTAAATAATTTGATGAACTATTTTAAATGTTAGAATTTGATTCTCAAGCTAAATTAAATCAGGATGACATAATACACTACAAGCAACATAGGAAATTTAATTGTCTAAAAACAAGACTTTGTGACATAGCTAGGCTAGAATACACTTTTTCAATGCTCAGGCTTTTAAGACTTCTTCTGAAGTCCTTAAATTCCAAAAAGTTTTATCAAACAGTGAAAAAAAAAGAAAGTTAATGCCTTGCCTTACAGAAACTCAAACAAAGTCATCTTGGCTAAACCAGTAAGTTGCAAATGTAGCCAAAGAGAAGGTATGGTAGTGAATAAGAGCCCCAGGACTTGCTGCCAGCTGAAAGTCTTACAGTCTTCTGTAGGAAACATGGGCAGTCATCCTTTTCATCCATGTTCTCATTCCTGTTGTCTGTCCTACTTTAACCTCTGAAGTTAAATGTGCAGAAAAGAACACATATCCTGAGTTGCAAGTATTGCTTACTAAGAGCTAGTCAGTCCTTTCCAGTATATTTCTTTTGTCGATACTACTCTGACAAAAAAGACTCCATGTAATTTAAGAAGTATATGGTTGTTCAAACTCCATGCAGCTAAGTCAGTCAGCAGAGAATAACACCAGTCCTGCAGACAGCTCAGTCACATGTGCAATAAAGGTAGTCCAGAATGTGAAATTTATTCAATTCATTTATATATAGACATATCTATATAAATATATACATATATTGATATGCACAGAAAAGGCTATGTTTAAGCATATCTAATACACCTCTGTAGAAGTTCATGCAACTATTTTTAAACAAATGAAGAAAAGAACCTGAGTATTTACCAAGGCTTTTTCCTTGTGCAATTCTTATCAAAAGCTGGCAGAGGTATACTGTTTTTTTCTGATGCGGAGGTATTTGGGGGAGGCCATTAATAAGAGCTGGAAAAGAAAAGTTAAGTGAGTATTGCTCCCACACTGCCACAGTGTGGTTAGACATATACTAGACAGTGTGTTATCAGATTTCACCAAATTTCGAATTTCTTAAGAAACCAATGAAGCACACTTAATTAGTATTCTCCCATGCTAAAACAACTTTATTATACTTAATTATATTTTATTATATTTAAGAGCTTGACCAGAAGAAGATATCCTTTCCAGAAGAAACAGCAGAATTATTCACAGTTTATAGTCATCCAATTCAAAGACTGTAGTATCAAATTTAGGGATTTTTTTGTGAAGTAGGTTACTACAAAAGACAGCTGTCTGCTCCAAGGAACACTTCCAGGGAATGCCCACAAAATATGAGCCACAGGCAGACTGGTAGCACATGTTGCTATAGCAACTTACTATGGCAGTAAAAATGACAGGGAAAGCTCACTCAGAAATGTAAATTTACAAGGGAAATCCTCCTTGCAAGGCTGGAAGGTCACAAGGATTATTACATATTTTAAAATGGAAGCGATAATGAGTTTATTCCCGTCACAAAGGTAACTGAATTTCTTATGCTAATGGGCTGGATACAGTAATTCATCTTCACACCATAATACAGAACCATTCAAAGTGAAAAGTGAATCACAGAATAGATGGGGTTGGAAGGAGCCACTGGGTATCATCTGGAACCACTACCTTCCTATCTTTCTGCACTTGCTTCAGTTTGAATTGAGTTTCTTGTTGACAAACAATCATTATTTCTGCAGGGTCTCCCTTTGATGCACGCAAGAGTAATTGTTCTGTGTTTTTATGAAAAAAACCACACCCACTTTTCTCTTAGTCTTGTGGCTGTGCTTAGCTTTTCCCATAGACTTTTACAACATTGATTTTATGATCTTACACTGCCAAACTCTTTCCTCTGTTGCAAAACAGAGTAGGAACAAGTTCAAAATTTGCTATTACTTCTCATTTCCATACGGCCTTGAATTCTGTGCAATTAAATTAATAGTTTCTACTGATATACTCAGTTCTCCCAGTTCTTCTCAGGAGATATTTTCAATTTGCTTTTGCATTGACAGTGTCTCTGATTCCCACCTTCACGAAACGTCAGAACAATTCACCCTCTGAGCAGCAGTGCAAAGGCCACACATCGAGAAGCAACGAAAATAATTTAATCTAGCAGCCCCCCATTCAAGGCACTTTATTGGGTTATTGTTTGATTTCTTATCTCTTACCATATCCCATATCAATCTCTTTAATAATCATTCTGCATGCCTTTGTAGTCCATTCTTCGCAGAAGTTTAAACAAGTCATACTACTCTGTTCACTTGAGTAGAGAACATATACAAAGACAAAATATCCCCCAAAGCTCTAACCTGGTATACTCAGTTAAATTGCTTTTTACAGATGAAAATATCATAAATCCATCAAATTTATCTGAGACTTACACATTTACTTCCAGTTGCTAACCATTCTCACTCTAAAGTTTATTTCTCATTTTAAATATGTTTTTCCACTCAAAATCCAGCCACCAGATTTCATTTCATCTCATCTCTGACAGACTCTATGTCTCTGAAGTATTTCTAGCACTGCTGTACTATCACCGTGTGGAGTGCTGCCGATACCACCCGAGCCCTCCTCAGGCCGGCCCGGGAGCGGCTGTGCCAGAGCCCCGAACCGGCGCCACCGCTGCTCACCCTGCGCAACGTCCCTCCACCGCCAGAACTCCGCCCCGCTCTGCTCCGCGAAGTGCCGGCACAGGCAGGAGCAGGCGAACTCCAGCATCCACTCCGCGGCCACGGCCTCCACGGCCGCAGGCGGGGCCGGACTGACGGAGCTGCTGCTGCCGCCGCCGCCGCCGGCCGCTGCTCCCGGCGCACCCTCGGCCGCCATCGCCATCTTCAAACCGCGCGCCAACGGCTGCCAGCCCTGACTTTCACTGCTCCGCAGCCAATCAGAGAGATCGCTCCGCCCTGCCCTGATCTGCATCCAATCAACACAGCCTTTACGCCAGGCCCCGCCCCCCACCCCGAGTTGCAACCAATCAGCGCGGCCCCCCTCTCACGGCCTAGGTCGTTGTCGCCGCGCGGTTGTTTTGGTCCCCAAATGCTTTTGGGGGCCGGAGGGGGAAAGCTGAGGGAGTGCGGTCCCATATGGAGCGGTGGCTTTGAGAGCTGCGGTCTCCCGCGCTTCCCGGAGAGAAAAAGGCGAAACGTGGGTGTTTTGCGGGAGGGAGGGAGGAACCTGGAAAAACTGAAAAGTCTGAGCTTTGACTTGGCAACAAAGCCCAAGCTGGAAAGTGAAGAGGGATGGTAATAGCTGGAGTGTGTCTGTCTGAGAAGGCAACTTGTACATGTTAAAATGTAAAACCCAGGGAGGAAGAAGGTAGTCTCTGAAGGGCTGAATTTAAGGCAGGTGTGGAAGTACAGAACAGTTTTCCTCTCAGAGATATGACGGAGGGCCAAGCAGTGCCGTGGTAGATCTGGTGAAAGGCTTTAATTTGAGCTTTATTTCACTCCAGGGAGGAACAGTGTGGTATCAGAGAGCAGGAGTTATTAGCTGCGGGGCCTTTACCTCCTTTGGCTCCTGTGCTCAGGCTATATTGCACCCACAGCAGTCTTGTTGTGGCATTAATAAATTGAGGTCAGAGACAAAAAAACACATAATTTAACTTAAAAGACTCTTCTATTTGGACAGCTGTATTAATAGAGTGCAAGACTTAGATTTGCACTTTGAAAGAGATTGTGACAGCTTGCTGCTGATAATCTCAGGAATCGAAATTCTTAGTGTTTGACATGAACCAGGTAGACATAAAAAAATAGATTATTATGCATTAATGTTTAATTGAGCAGGCATTTTATGAATTTTGTAGTAGAAACTGACAGGAAGGTGGATCAGAGCTTGAAAATTACCATGATAAACAACAGCAGGATGAGGTTGCTGAGTGTAAAGTGCTGTCTGCTCAGTACTAACAAAATCATCTTTGTTATCATCCCTGTGTTCAGCACAAATCCAAAACATAGCTCCTTACCAAGCCACTATGAAGAAAACTAAATCTGGCCCAACCAAAGCCAGCACAGCACCCAGCCCTGAGTATCGTTGAGGGGCCCATAATATGTGGGCAAATGGATTTCAGGTACTGTTTATCTCTTCCCCTTGACAATAGAAGAAGCCTGAAGCAGTATTTTAGGAAAGATGCCTATCTTGTAGGTATTTTGAGGTCAGATGACTTTTGTGCTGGGTGAGCTTGCAGCAGGATGAGAAATGGTACTCTAGTGTGGCAAAAATTGTTTTATTCTTATGAATGAGGTTTAAAATCACAGTAGGTAATTCCTAAACCAGTTTTTTTTTTCTTTCTCTTGCAGGTGTTTCTACCAGTTCCGTCTGTGATGGTGGCAATATTTTTCTTCCCAGTTTCACCTCCTGTAGCCTGGTATCCAAGTCTGCAACACGTTTACTTTCCTTTTTATGCTGGGAATTGTTATTGTTTATCTGCATTTTATACATTTTATATTGCACTTTGCATTTCTTGATAAAATTAGTTGCTCCTCAGAGCTCCTGCTAGAAGCCTCTTCTACTGATGGATTTGCAGAGGGCAAATGTGAATCGTGTTTAATCCCAGTATAACTAAGAGCCAACTGAGGATTTTGTTTAACTGAGAGTATAAAAGGTACAAGCTGTATGTGATATATAGGTGTGCATGCATATGTATATATAGATATAATGTACATGTATTGCATACCTATATACATATATATATAAATATACATATATACTTATATAGGCATTATATTTATATATTTATATGGGCTTTGGCATAGGGAGTTAGTATGTTTATATTTTTGTCTCTGTATACATACCTATATATAAATGTATATATGTAGCAATTTAATAAGTACAAAGAGTCTGACTCAAACTTGTGAAATCTGTAAAATGCTGTCTCTTGTTCCTGAAGACAGTTGAAATAAGACTAAATTACAACACAAATAATTATCAGTATTATAAAATAATAAATGAGTTAATACATACTTAACAGCATCATTATAGCAATACACTTAGTCTCCAGACTCAATAGTCTGGATTATTCTTGGTTTATTCATTAGAACTTCCAGTTTAAAAAGTTTTAGTCTTCTGAAGTGTTCATCTGCTAAATTTTTTTGGTTTGGACTTACTTTTAGTAAAAATCTTTAAGGAACATCATGAAAATGACAGATCTTTTTTTAATCCACCAAAAATATGCATTTTAGCATTTAGCTATTTCAGAACAACACATACAAATTCAGGATGAAATTTCACACAGCATTAAATAAGGCAATAAAAATGACTTGCCCTCTTCATCATAGCAATACTACTAAAGATATGTGGATTACTTTACTAAATTGTTTAAATATTAACATTAATGTTACTTTATTCTTCATTTTATTTTTGATGTTATTGGGACATAGGACCAATTTTTTACCCTGTTTTATTTTGTTTATGGAAGCACAGTAAATTCTTTTTCCTTTTGATAATTGGACCATATTAAGTTCATGCAGTATTTAATCTTAAAAGCAAAGAGCCATTGCACAAGAAACATCACATACTTTAGGTGATTAATCTATTAATATAAGCTGTTATATTTATAACTGTAATAGAATTACATGTGTAAAGCAGTTTTTCAAATTTGTCGATGAAAGCTCAGCAATACAACCAGTAGGTGGCTCCAGCCTAACATCTTCCTTACACAGGGGTGCTCTGGTTTGCTGCATTGGTGGAAAAGTTCTTGCTAGAACACTCAATGCACTGATGTGTAAGAAAATAAGGATCAGAATGATGTATAAAGACTTTATTCATAGCTGCCCAAATTATTGGGTACTGTTCTATAAATCTGGGAACGAACTGAACATTAAACTGAACATTTAAGGAGATTTGACTTAGCACAAATGAAAACAAGTACGAGAAGAAAGTGCCTTTTCTCACAGGTGGTAATGCACACAGAATGAAAATTTTAAGTGAAATTTAGAACATTTAAAATTCTGTAGGGAGTAAAGTCTGTACAAGTGAGAAGCTAAGCTGGAGATTGGATCAGGATAAGAATCAATCTATAATTTCCTTCAATATTGCTATTGGAAAAAGAACATTTCTCTTGCTATTTAAATTAAGAAAATTACAGGACTCAACAAAGTTTTCCAGCAGTAATATTTTGAGAATTGAATTCTACTGAGTAATAAAATGAAGGAGGGATTTTATTGTGACCAAAGCACCTACCAGGGATTTATAAATGCAGGTGGTGCCTAGCAGCGCCACAGATTTTCAGGTGATCTTTATGAAATAGTTTATGCAAGCATGTATATTAACATGGAAATGTTCATAAGGAACAAAAAGTTTACATGACAATAATATTGTGCTGTAGAAAAAGCAAGCATCAAGGGAAAGTTGCTCAATTGGATGTGCAGTTTCTTGTATCTGTTTGAGCTTGTTTATACACTAATTCTGTGAACTGTTCAGTACCTAGTGAATACATGTGTTGGGGTATGTTTGGGTAATTGGAGCATGTATCTGTTAAACCTACAAACTTTGAATTGAGAGATTTAGCAGTTTAAACATACGAGGGAACTAGAAAGTCCCAATAAAATGTAATACAAAATAAAGTGTATGCATGGATCCATTCATGCTGTTTTAGATGGAAACTAAGGACGTATAGCCATAATTATTCACTGACTTTGGATGCCTTGGACCATAGCCTTGCCTATTTCAAGGTATGAAATACCATGCCTTGGTATTTCATAGTAGTTCATAACTTTAGATTGTTTATAGTCCTCTTGAATTAAGTTCCAAGAGTACTAAAAGAGGAAAGGACAAGTTATCTCAGTCAGTTTGGTTTAGATGATGCAATTCCTTTGTGATCTAAAGTGTATGAAATGTTAAATTACAACAATGAGATTTTAAAATTCCACAACCCAAGCTGGGAGGATTTAAAACAGGGTATAAAAAATGAGGAAAACAGAATTAATGACAATTTTTAAAAATAATGATTTAAATTATTCCAGTATGGTCTTGGATTTTATAGAGAAAGAGAACTTTGAATTTTTCTTGGCAGTACTCAAATTCCTTAATCTGACAACTTTTCTGTAAATCCTACATTATTCATTATATCAAATTACTAATCTAAAGCAAATGAGGGATTGGCTACCTCACATTTAGTGTCTTCTTCAACACAAACTGTTCACTTATTCCAAGATCTAAGTGAGATGGGAATCTTCTAAAAAAATCCCTCTCATTAAATGACCTGAAAAGATATTCATACAACTGGCATTAATTAACATAATAAAAGCAATCTCAGATATTTCTAATCTCCTGAATGAGTCACTGATATTCTCTTAACGCAGCCTTTCTTTTACGTGAGTTCTTTTTGAATGCGAAATCACAAAGAAGCAAATGCAGAATTTAATTTATAAAGTTGTCTTATTCTTGGATCATTCCAGATTTTCAAACACTAATTATGAAGAACAGAATTCAATATTTTAACTAATATTAACTACTGTAGCCAAGGGCATTTCAATATTTTAATATTACAGCTTGTTTCAGTGACACTAGTGGATCTCAGCTGCTTTCCCACTTGAACAATCTGCAGAAAATATTACATAGAAATGTGACTGTTTTAGTTATAGAATACATCAGACATTAGTTTATATTTTTAATTATTTTTTCCTGTGACTTAATAATGATTTTAATGATTTTGCATATTTTTATTTTTATATATTTATATATGATTATTTTATATTTATATTTTATGTATTTATATATTATTTTAATATTTTGCATATTTTATAAGTTCAACTACACAACAAATAAAGTGTGGATTTTTTTTTCAGTACTGTACTGGCCCAGTTTGACATGCAACCTCCCTAGCTGCTGGTTTTTTTTGTTTCCTGTC